GAGGAATCTGAATAGGGCAATTGGGAAAATGAGTAATATAATTTGGACTACACTTGAATCAACAGACGCCTCTCCTGAGAAAGTTGCATAGGACAAGATGCGTCAAGTGGGGTCTGTTGATGCCAGATATAGGGTTTGTGGGATGTCTCTGTCTTTCCTATAAAGCAGGTTGTCATTGCGAATTTGGAATTAGTTTTAAACTCTAAGTGCATTAGCTTTTATGTTTATGTTATAATAAAAAACAATTCCCCTATAAGTACTCTTCTGTGTTTTATACATGATGAAACCTTGAGTCGAATGGTGATCTTTGGGGCATGTTTGGAGAAATCTGGAAAACTAAGAGCAATTTTTAAACTTTTAAGCAGGTCTCAGCGTATCACATTCTTGATTTTAGAGTCCAGAAAGACTTATTCAAGAGGTCATGAAGGGTTACCACAGTCCCGACATGTGAGTTAGGTTTATGCCGATGTTTAGACAGGAAGAAGGTTCCATCATATGCCCCTGCCCACACCCCAGCATGCATGCTGCATTACTAAACAGGTGTGGTCAGTAAATACCAGCAGGGGGTCTGACTGTCCCATGGGATAATGACCTTCAGGCATCCATTCATCCTTCAGTGTCACTTCTCCAAGAGCTCTGCTATTTTAATGACCATTTCACCAAGTCACATGTTGATTGTTCTTTCAGGAGGCAGGGAATACCTTTATATCAAAGCTGTCACATAGATATACATTTTATCAGCGCCAACATAATATTTTATCAGCTACAATGAAATAATACCCAGAATTGTTGATGTTTTGATTGAAACCTGCCTGGTTTCAATCCTCTTTAACTGTGGCCTACTAACGCTGCTTACATGGTGTGTAACCAATCTGTCAGTTTCTTTTCACTGAACAATACACTGTAATTTTGATTTCTTAACTAAAAACCTGCCTGGCTTCTCCCTTTGAAATTTCTGCCTAGAGTCTACACAATATTTCTGGCTTTTGTCTCTGAAATAATACACTGTAATTTATATTCATCAGTTTATTTATAGTTTTAAATCTAACTTTCAGCCTTGTGTCAATTGGACGTCATCAGTCAATTCTTGCTGACAGTCTGTATCCTTTGAAAACTACACCCAAAATGTTTTAGAAGACTGTGCACCCAAAACACCACATATCTTCACTCCAGGCTATTTAACCCTTTCCCTGCCACCGACGTAAGGCATACGACGGAACAAAACTGTTCCCAAAACGCCGGTTCAGTATGCCTTACGTCGGTGACATTTACCATTCTGCTATAAGCTCATGGTCGCTTCAGCGACCACCCCCACCCCCACCCCCGCTGGCATCTTCAGCCTCTCCTCCCTGCCTGGAGCAGCTCCAAGCAAGGATCTGTGTCTCTTTGGATCCCCGCGGCTCTCCCCCGCTTGTATGGGCTGAGGCAGCGGGGATCCGAATAGAAGTACCGGTACCTGGCGGGGGACTGGAGGAGCAAGCCGCTCGATCACGATGATCGAGCAGCATGAGAGAGCAGTGGGCAGAGAGGACAGAGGAGCCGCTGTCATCCTGTCAGTTTCAGGATGACAGTGGCTGTCTGCGTGGCTGACCGGAGGATCAGTAAATATCAGTGATATTATCGATTTACATCACTGCCTGTTCATTCATGAATTTCTCAATGAGGAGAAGCACCAGTTTGTGAATGAATGGGAAGCATCTGTGCTTTCCATTCATTTAGAACAGAGACTGCAGAAAAAGAAATTGAGGACTCCGCATCCTCAATATCTTTTTCTATTTCAAAAGGGAAATGTCAGGGGTCTGTTTAGACCTCAGATATTTAATCGTAGCCCAACAGTATTAAAAAAAAAAATGTATTTAAAAAAAGTAAAACAAAAATTGTATTAAAAAATAAATAAAACATTTGCAAAAAAAAATAAACTAATAAGAAAAACCCACAACCCCACTCCACCCCACACACATAACATACACGTGCACCATGTTGTGGTGTACGCCATGGACATGAGCTGCAGTGCGTGGTTAGAGCGCATCGCAGTGCATGATTTTTTTTTTTTTTTTTTAAAAAAACATTAATTTAACCGTGGCAGCGCATGGCAAAGCTTTGTGACGCATTGCCTTGCATTGTGCTACCATGTGTTGCAATTAAATAGTTACCTGTATAATTTTATCACAACACAAACACCAACACAGCGCACAAACGATTTTTAACCTAAGTCGCTTATTTACAGTTTTGCGTTCCCTCATTTTTTTACCTTTTTGCAAAAAGGCACAATTTCAAATTTGAATATATTTGTTATTTGTTAACTCAATACAGTTTTATCTTTTAGATTTAGTCAGAAAATCATTTTTTTGTGCACTGATACTGATTTTAGTATGGCTTTATCCATTCCATTGTGTATTTTTATCGGTTTAATATTAATGTGAGAAACATTTGTGCAATTATCGCAGGGCCTACAAATTTAGTATCACCATCTTGGGATTCTACCGGGCCTGTGCTTTCAGAAAATATATGGTTTGGGGGGTCTATTACAAACGCTAGCAACGCAGCAGGTGAAAATCAAATCAATGGGAAAAATTGAAGAAATGGGGTGGCCAGCTGAGGTGCAAAATGTTCCGGAGGGCTTGGCAGCGAAAGGGTTACATTCAACGTCTCAGTCACAAATTCCCTCGAATGCGTTAAAGACCCTGTCTGACATGGCATGTGTAGCAGGGCAGACTAGTACCTGCAGTGTATGTAAGGCCACCACCTCCCACCAGTGGTCCAGCCTGAGCACTCAAAAGTTATTGAATGTTATTGCTTAACCACCTCCGGGAGCCAGGAAGGGGGTCTAAACACCTGGTCTTGAAGTGGTTAAATGCATCTGTCAACCTGGTGTTTGTTTTTTACAGATTGGGTTCACATGTGTGGCTTAAACAGACAAAACTGCAGCATGTCACCGCACAATTCTGCGCAATAGAGGATTACTCCAAATCTCCCTTTATGCCATAGCTGCCATTACATTTATTTAATCTGATAGCACTGGATACATAGCTAGCATAGGCTGGCTGGCCTCACTCAAGTTGTCTTTTGGTTGTGCCACTTGTTCCTGACACAGGCAAAGCTGCCCTTTGTATGCTGCCATGTAAATTATGCAGTGGCAGAATGCATGTTGCTGACACTGTCTGTGAGAATTGTATTGTTCTCTATCACCACATACAGTTGAAAGGCATCCCCCAAGCATTTCATTAAAATGATTGGTGTTTTTCCAATATATGAACATTTCACGTAGGCTGATGAAGAACTTAAATATTATAAGCTGTAAAGTCAGGGACTGATAAAAGTGCTTCACAATTGTCCGTACTACATAAATTAAGAAAATTAAATATAATCTGCCTTGGAACATGACCATTTGAATCTGATTTGTGGATGTGGAACAATACTAACAGTTTTCATGGCTTGCACTTTGATACATGAAACCCATTTTTGTTTAATAAAGCATTTTTGCTACATTAAAGGAAGTAGTGAAGCTCGCTGACATATTACTGTGTGGACTGTAACTGCATTGTTATTGTGACTGAATATATTGATTTCTTTCTTTGTTCGTGTATTTGGTGTGAGTTCTGCTGACATAATCAATGTTTTTTTCATTAACGTTCACAAAACATTGCTATACAATGTTCCCTAAATAACCTATGATAGTTGGTGCCTTCCAGTATTGGTGTTAAAGTGACACTAATCTCAGAAATTAAATCTTAAAAATGCATTCAAGTACCTTAACTATTAACACAAATGTATCTTATTTGTGTATCACTCGGCTGTAGATCCCCAAATCATCTCTGAATTGGTGCTGACACTGTCCTTCCTTCTGGAGGGTGGATACCGTTGTTTCCTATGGTCCCTGTGTGTGTTCTAACGTAGTCCTTCCTCCAAGCTCACTCCCGTGATGGACTACAATCTCATGTTTAGTTTACAAATTTGTATTTTAATTGAAATAATATTCTCTCACAGTCACCTTAAGCTACTTTAACTGACTTTATTGATTCAACCAATGATCATGCAGTCATAGGATGAAAGGGCAAGGTACAAGCATCAAGTAAACATGGATGCTCTTGCCTATGGAGAGTGAGAGTGTTAAACCAACTCTAGCGGTCCTTGATCTCTCTTTTAGTGGAATACCCCTCCTCCCCCAAAAAGACATTCAATGATCCATCGCTTATGTCTCTAGGCATCTATAGTTTTATACCATTTGTCAGAGTTAGTTTTTTTGTCATTTGTCATTGTTAAAGTTAGTGCTGATGTTTATGTAATATTGATCAGTGTCATAGTGGATACCGGGATTATAATCATTTCCTATATATTTTGTGGCAAAATAAAAAAATAAAATTTAATGTATTAGGTGACATGTTGGTTTCACCCAGTAGTATAAAATTAGATTACATCTAGCCTCTTCATTCTGAATTATTTATTTGTGCAGAACAGTTCAAAATTGTGTAAAACTCACAGAAACCCCCAAAAAAATTACAATGCTTCAATTAGCCCCCTAATTACCTTTTCTATTATCCTGACACTCCCTTTACTTTAAAAATGTATATATAATCTGCTATGACCCCTTTAAGGAATAACATCTTTACTATAAAATATATGAATGTGACTACAGTATACTTTTTTATGTAGTCATAAAGCCTCATGGTCTACTCTTTTCAAAATTATATATATATGTACTGTATGTGCTAGGATATTTAAAGATGTTATAGAAATAATTTGAGGGTTGTAAATTCTGTCCTTAGGCTCAGCCAGTAATTAGTAAAAGTGCAGATTAGAATGTCTGATTGATCCTTACCTACTGTCAATATCTAATGTCCCATCCAACTAATTGTATTAGTTTTCCATTTGAGGTCTAAATTAAGTTAAAAGCCAGTGCAGATGCAGACATTTTCCTCACAATTTTCAAGAAAACACAGAACCATGAAACTTTTCACGTTAATTAAATCTTTTTTTCCCCTCTTTTTTTCTTTTTCCAGATCCGCAACTTTCTGCTCAATGACTCAGAAGATGAGGAGCTAAAGGAAATAATTCGTACGTTTCCTGGAGAAAGCAGCAACAGAGCTCAAGAGCCAAACGAAAAACTTTTCATAGAGCAGCAAGGCCTGCAGATAAGGGCCCAAGCAGAGCAACAAGAACAGGAGGAACAGTTCCAAAAGGAGGAGGGCTACTACAGGAAAGAGCAGCAGGAGCAGGATAGACTTCGCGGAGAACAACAGGAGGAAGAGACTCTACATAAAGAAGAAGAGGGACTCCGTCGAGAGTATCAGGAAGAAAAGCTGCGCAGAGAGCAGTGCGAAGAGGATGAAAAGCTCCGCAGGGAGCAGCAACGTGAAGAGGAGGAACGGCTTCACAGGCAACATCAAGAAGAGACTCTGCGAAGGGAGCAACAGGAAGAAGAGAGGCAACGCAAGGAGCGTCAGCTGGAGGTCAGGCTTAGCAAGGAGCAGCAAGAGGAGAAATTCCACAAAGAACATCTGGACAACAAACTTTGGTGGGAGCAGGAAACTGAAAAACAGTGGGATCAGCAGAAATATCACCGAGATCTACACGACGAGAGAGTCTTTTATAATGATACCATGCAGGCCCATGTAGACCCTGAGCTCCTTTCTGTTAGGCAAATTAAAGAGGACATTGATGAGGGGAAGGACATAAGCCAGACCCTTCCTGTCTTGCCTCCAGTTTGGGGCTGTCCACCACTGGTACCACCTCCAAGTCCTTCTAGACCTAAAAGCCCATGGGGAAAACTTGACCCTTATGACTCTAGTGAGGTAAAATGCTTTATAACTAATCTGTTTTTAAGGTAAATACATCACTTCCAGTGAAATCACTGGAAAAATCCAACCCAATCCAATTTCTGGGCTTTCCATCCAGTAAGGTACACCCTTTAAAATAATAGTTCTGTGCCCACAACATATAGAGTTCATAGACTATAGAATGAGGACAGGAGCTCTAACTGCCACAGTATCATACTGTGGAAAGATAAGGTATTAACATGTTTGTGTTGTCAAAGCAAGCATGTTTTGATCAGTGCAGACACTCCAGTGCCCGCCTACACAAGATCACGCGGCCACAGAAATTCAACCAGCTGACACATTCGTCAGCCAGCAGATGTCTTCTTAGGCTAGATTAGATTTCCTAAAGATATGTAATAGTTGGTCAGGCCAGGTACCAATGATCTAAGGAACACAAATAAGACAAATTGCCTTGTCCTTGTGAAATACATGAAAATTGTGAAATTACTAAAACTTTATAAAAGGACAGGTACTCATGAGAAGATAAAGACAAATTGTGCTTATCTATTATGGCTGAGCCACACTGGATATCAGTAAGTTCACAGCTTTGTCTCACAGTGGCACCAGTCTGCAGTGTGCTAAGATTGCCATCTTTCTTTCTCAACCCACACCACAGGCTGGTACCAGCATCCTGGGAGACAAAGCTCTGCATTTACTGATATGCAATGTGGTTAAGCCATGTATAGATAAGCATATTTATATTTTGATCTTGTGAGTACCTGTCTTTTTATAATGCTTTAGTAAATAAATACATTTCACAAGAACAACAAGGCCATATGTCCTATTTGTGTTTATATGTGTTATAGACTTGGATATGAGCAGCCTATCCTCAACAAGACTCTGCTTTTTTGTGGCTGTGTGTGTGTGTGCATGTGTGTGTGTGTGAAAACTTGGTTGTCGATTGGTTGTGCCGGAAGTATTGGATTTGGAAACCAATGATTCAGTGTTGTCAGACCTTTTTCAGAATCCAGTATGTTAAATGACAGCATGTGTTACAAATAAGAAAGTAGTAAAAGCTTGCAGAACTTAGATGATCAGAAGTTTTTCCTGGTTTAGACCTGGTTGGCTTTGATCTGTTAAAATGAAAGAGTGATTACACATTTGGAACCTCATGGCAAGTTCTATGGATAGTTTTAACATAAAAGATGGTTTCTTTAAAGCTTTAATTTGATTATGTTATATGGTACTTTTAGATACAAATAGACTCACCATTTTCTGTAATTTTCCCTTACTCCTTTTTCTAGACAAAAATACATATGTTCTGGAAACTAAAATTGGCCACATATCAGTTGTTACCTTTGATTTTATTTGTCAGCAAACATTACCAGTACGGATTTGTTCACACAGGCTATGGATGATGCAGAATGGACCTCCACTTGGCTGTGCTGCAATAGCTTTCCCAGCAGAGAAAAAAAGGAGAGCTTGTCATTGAAAGCCATTAAGCTTAATGGCTTGGTGTGGCCTGAACGTTGCAGGCAATATTTGGGTCAGAGTGGAGCAATGTGGTGCTGATGAATGCAGAAGTGAGATATTGGGCACATTACACTCTGTCATGCTCAACTGTTGGAGGGTGCTTGGGAGGTAATAAAACCTGTCAAGTGCCCATTCTTTTGGCACACATATGCAAACATTTTAACTGAATTTATTTCTTATGAAGCCCACTAAATAGTTACCGGTATTGGTTAAATCTGTTAATCTAATGGATCAAATGTAAAAAAAAAAACTTAACTGTTTTGAGGTCAGTTGAACGGGTCTACACACTCAGTCAACTAGTGGATACAGATAAAAGTGAAATAAAACATGGGAACATTTTTGATTCAGCAAGTTATTCCTGAGAAACGTTCTTACAGGTTGAATAACTACATGTGAAATGTCTGGTTCCCTTCCTGTTCAAGGGAATGCATCTCTACATTAGTATATTATTTGCAAGCATAACTTTGCATTCAGTGAAGCAGAAAATGTCCAGCTTCTAGCATTACATAGTATACTTTTCTGTAAAAACTCCTCTTTTAATTAGCAATAGCTTCCAATGTATGCCAGTCATCTGGTGTCTTCCTTAAACCATACCCATCATTTAATTTACTCCTCCTTGTAGTGTGTCAGATAGTTATAGAGGGAATTTAATGCAGATAATACTTTTCTATATTTTAGGGCAGGACTGTATTATATATTTTTTCTTCAATTTTACTTTTTAATATTTTTTTCGCCTGTAGTTGCTGTTTTTATATAATCTCGAGTATCCGTGTTTGCTAAGTATGCATAATCCATGCTGCCCTTTGCCACCTCCATTCAGATTCGCGCTGTCTAACTTTTGGAATCTGACAGGTTTTATCTGCTTAGTGGTTGTGGGCAATGGGCATCACTGACTGTTGCTCTTAAGCACATATTTATAAAGAAGCTGGTGGAGATAAATGTCAGTTTTACATGACACATTCTGATTCCGTATGGAATAGATATCGGTTGTAGAACATTAAAGATCGTATTATAATAACTGTCTAGTTGACAAAGCCAGTTAGATATAAAAAAGCAAGTTGCCCTTATAGAAAATACTAGCTGCTGTTGCATATTTATAAAGATGTGCTATGCATGGGTGATGTATTAAACCCTATTTATAAAGCACAAGTAACATCTGTTCTCCAGTGGATGTTATAACTAGACCTATTCATAATGAAGATCACATTTATTGCACATTCCCCTGATGTCATTTTTTGCATGGGGTATCATTGTACTATACAATGAAAATGCAATGATTTGCTATGGAGACAAGGTTGCGAACCTGCGTTAGTTTATCTGTAGTAGTTTGCCAACCTATCTATAGTGAAAAGTTTTAGGGTCTTGTTTGGATTTATTACCCTCTGTTCAGTGTTTTTTAGTATAAATAAACATAAAATGTACATTTAAAAAAAAAAAGCTTTTAAAAAGTAATTTTATTGTTCATAGTTTCACTTGCAATGTACCCGGTGACATCTATATATGTCCCTTGGGAGTACTTGTCTTACTCTGTATTTAATGAGATTCCAAATTAGACCTCCAAGTGCAACACCTGTGTAAAAAAATTCAGCACCATGGAAAGTACCAGCAGCATATTCACAAGCGCTGCTAAAAAGTAGCTACTGTCCTTAATACATATGGTGGCATTTGCCAGGGAAACATGTCAGCCAATATGTTGTGAATACAACCAAATCCAAACTGGGAAAATGGTATTCATCTTTGCTTTAAAGCTATGGCTGTCCATACAAATAAAGATAGGGTCATCACATTTGAGCAAACATCATTGTTTTGATGGGAAATACATTAATGTATGCATGTGGAGAGCGACAGAGAGCGGTGAGGGATAGGTGGAGTTCTGTTGTCCAGCAGGTAGGGTTGGCAACATTACCCAACATTTCGTAGAAGCAAAGACATTGGGGGTCTATTCACGAAGCACCATAAGGATCTAGCCGTAGCTTCGGCCGATCCTTCATCTAGCTTCGGCCCCAGGACCCCTTCGGTTCAGTAGAACCGAAGGGCTGCTGTACGGGCTATTCCTATTGGCTATTTCAATTTGCAATAGCCAATAGCAAACTGGCTAATGCACCCGCCCTCTGCTGCAGTTCTCCATCAGGTCCCCACTAGTGATTGACATCAGCAGTGGGGTACAATAGCTAGTTTGCTATTGGCTATTGCAAATTGAAATAGCCAATAGGAATCTAGCAATGCATTCCTATGGCCAAATCTTTTTTTTCTTCTTTTTTTTTTACGTCAGCAGAAGGCTAGCTCTGCACAATCGTTTTCTATTTTTCTACTTTTTTTACTATTTTTCTGTTTTGCTCGGTCCCACAGAGAGACCGAGCAGAACAGCCGAGCCGAATGCCGCTCAGCGGCATTCGGCTATTCACTCACTGCTGTTCGGCATCTATAAGAATAGACCAAACAGCAGCGAGTAGCCTGTCGAAGGTTCGGCTTAGCCGATCCAGATGTTGCTAAGTCGAACTCCTTCTGCACTTCGGGCATGTTCGGCCGACCTGAAGCCACACAAAGCCACCTGATGTACGGCTGATTTCAGCCGATATACGGCTGAAATCAGCCATATAAACCTGAAGTGAATAGCCGAACATTGTTCAGCTCACTTCACTTCAGGTCGATCTTTCACTCGGCTGCCTAAGCCTACAGCTTAGTGAATAGACCCCATTTGTGTTGTCAGCCCAAACATGGCACACTGGATTTCTGGTAGATCAGGTATTTTTTGTAATTGAAACATTTTAAAGGGTTAAACATGAGAACATGTATTTTTTTTATTACTGAGAACAAAAACATTTTTGTTTGTCCTGACACACAGTTAAGTGCCTCTAACCTTTTTTTGTTATCATCCACTTTGCCTTGAGAGGGCTTATTACTCTTGTTACATTAAAATCAAGGAGGTAATAGCAATGAAGCACCATAGCCCAAATTAGCCAATCAGAGATCAGTTTCTAGATTTGTATTTAAATGAAGCCTCCAGTCTAATGGCTTAGTGTAATACTACAAAGGATTATGGCTTCCACAATGGTATCAAATAAAACTTATAGAAACAAAAAAAAAGTAATTCCATTATTCTCTGTTTTCTTTTACAGTCTTTATCCTAGTTTCCTGAATAGATATGTTATATACGGAGATACAGAGCCTGACCATAGTGACCTCTACAGATTACAATGCAATTGATTTTATTCAGGAAGCCAGTGAAAAGAGCACAGTGAAGACAGTGATTTCTTATAGCATATTAACCCCCTTAATATGTCCGGAATATACCATTTTACTGCTGTCTAATTTCTGGCAAATGCTGTGCAGTAGTAGATCATGGAGTTCTTGAAAGATATCACATGCTGCCTGCCATTGATTGAAATATTAGAATGCACTTCAACACTATATACGGTATACACATTTCATATTTTTTCACCTCTTATAGGAGGACAGAGAATATGTTGGATTTGCGACTCTTCCCAACCAGGTGCACAGGAAGTATGTGAAGAAAGGCTTTGAATTCACCCTCATGGTTGCAGGTAAGCAAGAAAAACACCCTGTCACCTCTAGAAGGTACTAGGTTATGTTGGGCATGTTTTTTTTTTGTAAGAGGCCTAATGAAAAATGTCTCAAGTTTGCAATATAACTTGAATTCCATCTATTTTGCTTGATATTATTACAGATTTGCAGCTGTACATGATATTACAAAATTCTAAGGAAGTAAAGTTTAAGATGTAATATTAAATATTTAGAAAATTATTATAGTGTTTAGCAGTCTCTTAGAATGTGGAAAAAGAATGTTATATATGTCAGGGCCATACCTACAGTTTGCATCACTATTGTCTGTTTGGGGAGAGGTTGGGTATCAAGTGCTTTACTGCAGGCCATTTGTCTCTGTGTCATCCTTAAGGCTGTTCAGCTTCAGTATTAGATCCTCTGGCACTCTAGGTTTTCCTCCCATGTCTATCATGCACCATTCCCTTTCTTCCCTGAGGTTTGAAAACCATATGAAGGTGGAAGGAGGCATGGCCTGATTGTTTGGATTTCTTTTTCTGGCCATGAATTTCTATTTCTTTTTCTGACCATGAACTTCCAGATCTGTTTTTAAAGCTTGCACTGGTTTTCCCCATCAGTGACCCCTGGCTATATTCCTGACTTTGCTCGTGTCTCACATTTGGCACCATACATGCTGCTTTTGATCCCTGCTAGTTTACTGACTACACTCTGACAGCCCTCTGGCTTAGTATTGCTGCCCTTTTTAGTTTCTGGATAGTCGATCCAATGGTGAGCAAAGGGCTATGCCCATGCTGCTAGACTCTATAATCTGCTGTATAGATTCCTGAGGCCATAGATATGTACCACTGCTGTGGTTGATTTTTATTTCGTGTTTACAATAATATAAACATGTTGCACATTCCCACAATACTGCAGACAAAGCCAGGCTTTCTGCCTTGTCTTCTCATTGGCACTGCTTTGGGCAGCGTTGCCCAGGGTTGTGAATCAGCCTTTTAGGTTAATAAATTCATTTTCATTTATATTAAATACTGTAGAGCCTTCTTAAAACACAAGGTATTTAATTGCAGCCTAATATTAAAGAGCTTTTTATTCCAAACTGGGTATTTAAATTAGTACATGCAGTACGTATTCTTTGTTGGTTACGTGTTTAGATGAAGCACTGAAATCTTGAGGAATACTGAATTAAGTTTTACTTGCTTAGAAGAACATTATATATATGTTATATACACATTTATATATACAGCATTATACAGCATACAGAACTTCCTGTATATAAATCATAGAAAAACATACAGAAGCATAGAGGCCAACACTGCACCACAGCGCCATCTACAGCTCAAAAGACAATATTACATCTCTGAACATCAGCAATACAATCAGTATGCTGTTGCATTTCCAACATTCATACAGTGGGTAGAGAAAACATATAAAGTTACATATATGTTATGTTATTGGGCAAGCAGATGTTTGATAGCTAGACAGGAGGGGTCACATGTCTTAAGGTACATGACATGATAATTGGCCAACCCAAGCCATTTTTAGCCACATAAGGCAACATGTAAGGTCTCGTTTGGATGGGCAGCTTAAGGGCGGTAAAATCAGGTGGTTTTTCTGTAGTTTTACTGCTCCTCACCCACCTGCTGCAATGCTTACATTGCAGCTGGACAGTCCTGTATACATTGCCACAGTGAATGGGACTGCACTACCAAGTGCTTGCCACGCAGTTGCAGTGCGGTAGTACAATGAAAAATCCTCCTTGGGATCAAAAAAAAACAACATTCCGGAGGTGACACTATTGCTTCCTGAACACTGGGCAGTCTTTTATCATTTTTTAGAGGGTAGTAGAGCCTGCTGCACCTCTAAATGAGGTCTAAAGTTGCGCCATACACGGATCAAATATCAGCTATTTGCTGGTGAATTGGCGAAAATGTAATCTGTGGGTGACCCTGCAGGCACCACAAAAGTTGATTTTTCAAGAAGAAAATTGACAGCTGAACCGCGACTGCAGCCAATGGATATTCCGGCAGCTGCAGATGCTGGTTGTCAGAGTGCAATAGTTGGCAGGGTAGATTACACCATCCATGCAGGCCAAATAAAGCTATTACAGTGTATGGCCAGCTTTAGTCTTAGCAGTCTTGGAATAACTTTAGTGGAACAGTCTATTGTCTGGGTTGTTGTAGTTATTTCAAATGTATCCTTCTTGCCATCAGAATAAGCCCTCTTCTGTAAACTCTCCCCCACAAGCATGGTTGGGTGCTATGAGCAAGCATGTTTATGGGACTATCATTTGGAAAAACAAAAAGATTTCTCAGTGGTCAATCACTTAATGTCCCCAGTCAGATTATACCAGTTTAGTTTTAGTAATTCCATTAGAAAATATCTTTTAAAACTTTGGGGGATCCCAAAGTCACGGAGGTGTTAATCTTTTTCACAAAAGGATTGTGGAGATTACATGGTTACATAGTCATATAATTACTATATTGTTTTATACTTATAGGTGGACTACAGTGATTGTGCAGTTAGCAGACCCCAGACCTGAACTATAAGCCATTTAGATGAATGCGTGATGACCAGTGAATTGCTAAGCTTCTAATCATCTTCTCTTTGTCAGGTGAATCTGGCCTTGGAAAGTCAACTCTCATAAACAGTCTGTTCCTGACAGATCTCTATCGGGGCCGCCAGCTACCAAGTCCAGAAGGTATTAACCCCTTAGTGACACAGTTTCAGAAAAATCTTTTGCTCCAGGGGATTGGAGCAGTTTTACCATTTTTGCTATGTATTTGTTTAACCATAATTTCCACCTTCCTCATTCATTGCACCTACACATATTATATACCGTTTTTTAAAGGATAAAATGGGCTTTAATTTGATGTGACAGATGTATATATAATTGGTTTTTTTTTAATACAAAAAATGCAAAAAGAAATGTAAAAACATTTAATAATGTGTACATACTGTAATTATTGTAGCTAACAAAGTCATTCTTAATAAATTATTTTATTTGTCCCGATTTATGGGGTATATCATATGTCTGGGATTTCAGTTTATTTTGGGAGTTATAGGTCACAAAATACAAGGAGTGAAATACAATTTTAATGTGGAACAATTTTAGAATGTGGTATGTTTCTCTCTTAACTTTAATAGCCTCCTTAGTGCTATATTTTCGTATAATATTTTTATTAAATATATTTTTTTTCCTTTTTTTTATTTTGTAAAATTCTAAAAACTTTTAAAAAACTAAACTTTTTTTAAAACTAGGGGGGCACTATATGGTTATTTTTTAAAATTATTATTTATGTTTTTTCACTTTGCTGGCAGTTGTAAAATACACTCAACATTTCTATGACACCTGTGAAGAGATTGGAATAAGCATATGCACTGGGACATGTATAGACCATCGTTTTTTCACTCCCGGCACCCTTTAAAAGTATGCAAAATCTCGAGGCACCCCAATCCAGAATGTCATAGATTTTAAGGGGGACCACACAAAAAAGTGTTTCCCCTTCACATCGGAGTGCCCCTTCAAATTAAAAATCCCCCCTTCACATCGGAGCCACGCTTGCATCAGTAGCCCCCTTCACATTGGAAGCCTCTGTTTCATATCAGAGCTCCCCCTTTACATCAGGAGCCCCCTTGGCCCCAATCTTCATCCCTCTCTTCACATCACAGTCCAACTACCACAAAAGTTTGAGGCACCCCTGAGGAGGCCAGGAGGCACACCAGTGTGCCACAGCACCCTGGCTGAGAAAGGCTGGTATAGACAGCAACAGAAGCATCACAACAGAATTGCATAGGTTGAAAAAAAGTTCACAAAATGTTTGTGAATTGAGGTCTGAGAGTTATGAGGTAAATATGGTATGATGCCAAAGAAAAAAACACCAGAACAAGAGAAAATCCTACCTATACTACCTATCATGTATATATTCAACTCTGGTTTCCCTTGTATGTGGGACATCCCATTTTTGTTCAGTGCGGCCTCACCGGAGCCATTGTGCTATATTACGTCCCGACCGACCTTCTGAATAGTTGAATCCAGCGCCTCACCTGTACTTGTTCCACAGACTGTAAGAGAGACAACCTGTATGGGGAAATCTTACAAAGAGGGTCATGGACAGCAAAACAATTTTGACAAGTGTTTAGTTTTTTTCAAGTAGGCTACTTCGGTGGCCTACATTTCACACTTCCTAATAATCGAAAAACATTATCAAAGAAAAGGGACATTATTGAGTCATCTGGCAAAGCTATTTTTTTTCTTCAATATGCCCTTAGGCTAATAGACTAACCTAAAGCTTCATCCTCTTTATGCCCCTAGGCTAATAGATTAACCCAAAGCTTCATCCTCTTTATTCACAGAGCGGGTAACACAGACGGTGGAGATCGTGAAGCAGACAGTGGACATTGAGGAGAAGGGTGTTCGATTACGGCTGACAGTTGTGGACACGCCCGGTTTTGGAGATGCTATAAATAATGAGGAATGGTGTGTTAATCAGTATACATGGGATATGTTCTATGTGCAGAAAATGCATGAAATGTAACAGTACAAGACCAGTATAACAATTTATGACACTTAGGATTGCCAGCATAGACAAAAGGTTTTTTTTTTTAAAAAGGCTATACTAACTGAAATGCAGAGCTAAACTCTTTCTGAAAATACCAGTTGCTGGGCTGCCATTGAAATACTAACCTACAGGGCTGTAGCTACCATGGGGCGAGTGAGGCACTCGCCTCAGGCGCAGCTAAGAGGGGGCGCAGCCAAGGCCGGCCTGGCTACGCCCTGTCGCGCCTGTTGCCAAGGCGAGCACAGTGCGCCATTGTCAACAGGGGCGCCAGGCAGCCAACACAGCCGTGGCTTGGCAGGGAGAAGAGGAGCGGCACCGGCTCCCGCTTTTCCTCGGATCCCTGCTGCTCTCCCCCACCTGTATGGGCAGAGGATTCTGTGTCCTCAATCTCTTTTTCTATTTCAAAAGGGAAATGTCAGGGGTCTGTTTAGAACCCTAATATTCCCCAAATCCCCCCAACACTGAAAAAAAATAAAGAATGAAAAATAAATGTAAAAAACCCCAAAAAAGACCCCCCCCCCACACACACACACACAAACAAACAAGCACATTACTAGACATGTGGAAAAACTAAAAATTTATATCGGATGAAATGAACGGAAACTAAAAATGTTTTCGTTAGTTTCGTCAAACAAAACAAACTTTATGCTATTTTGGACTTGGCCACCAGCGCATTCTGCGCATGCGCTACGCCATCCTGGACATCCTGGCACATGACATCACATACCACACACGTCTGTTGGGGGGGCACAATTTTCTGTTCTTGCCTCGGGCGCAAAAGGAGCTAGCTGCGGCTCTGCTAACCTAGAACAAGTTTGAAGATCGGGTAAGTCAGATTGAACTTGGAACTCACGATCTGTATACTTTTTTTCAGGGTCAGTGACTGAGTAAGTAGTGAAGCATTTGATCGCCAGGGAATAGTAGTTTCAAATAAGTGGTTGGTAATGGCATTCTTCAACTTTTTCATATTGATAACAAAGTTAGCATAGGTAGAACGATGAACAATGATTTCTTATTGACCTCTATAAGTATTGGTGCTTTTGTATATTAATCTTTTGATTAAGTAAAAGGCAAAATATTAAGTGGATGCAGCTTTTACTATTTATTATGTACTTATCATTGTTTTCTGTGGATAAGCATAAGGTCGAGGCTATTTCCAGATTGAATTTTTATGTCATATTAAATGCTTGATGAACTGACAGCAGCATCACTGACCACATAAGATGTCAAATCACTACTCAATCCCGATGGTGTTACACTTCTGGTATAGAAAACATGTGTGCCCGGGGGCAAAACTGCACTGGCTGCACCAGTGGAAAGAAAAAAACACCAGACACCAGTACTGTTACATGAGAGGAAGGGGAGTGGGCCACATGCTCCTGTACTGGGTATTTTCTTCACTTTTTGGCAGTTGAAGAAAGAGGTGGGAGAGGGAAGAAAAGGTGAGTATGTGCTGCTGAGGAAAAAGCATGGGTTTGCTTTAAAGTTAAGGATAAAATACACAGCTAAATTGAATGTATTGGTTAATTATGAAAGAAATTTGTCTCAAAACAATTTCTCTTAGAAAAATAATTGTGACATCTGTAACACAAAGTAAGAAAAAGGTGTTTTCTCTGGTGGTTCATTGGAGGGGTGGTATGATAAAAAATGAGTGCCTGGTCTTCTAGTCCTTAGCTGCCTCCTGTGGATATTGGGGGGAAGTGAATTAATATATGGTATGCCTTCCTGCACTGCCTTCCAATGCATCCTTCGAGACAGTGGAGTCTGGCACTAGGGAGGTAGAAAAGCCTAGAGTTTTGCTCACATTTCTGTTTCAATCAGTAGTGTGCTCCTTCTATGGAGTGGTATGGTGCTTCTGATGGGTGATATACTCCTTCTATGGAGTGATATGCTCCTCCTGTGGAGTTGAGAAGCTCCTCCTGTGGAGTGATATGCTCCTTCTATGGAGTGAGATGCTCCTTCTGTGGAGTGAGGTGTTCCTTCTCTGAAGTGAGATGCTCCTTCTGTGGAGTGGTATGCTCATTCTATGCAGTGTGTTTTGCCCCATCAATGGAGTAATATTATGACTCCAACTGTTGAAATATTGATTTTTTTTCCCCTTCCTGAGAACTCTTTACCTGGCCTGTATGAAGCAGATACATTCACTGCAGACAATTTTTATCAGATAGCTGAACTTGCCAAATACTTTTCGTCCAGGATATTCTGTATTATGTAAGTATTATGTAAAGGATAACACCTTTCTCCTCATATGCACATGTGACCTGAAAATGGCTGAATCTTACACCCAGGAAGAAGGACAAATCACACAAAGGGGAGGAAATGTAGAAAAGGAGGTTCAATAAACTTAAAGGGTTATTAAACCCTCAGCGGTTTTTGCATATGCCTACTGCTAGCAAGCAGTATATATATATGAAAAAACATTTAAAAAAAAAAACTTTTCAAAAGGGTAAACAGTTACCTGTGTCTCCGCTGCACGCTCCCGTCTGAACATCTGAAGTTTCTCGGGTGGCCGCAAAGGATCTTTGGACGGGCATAATGTGCAGTTCAGATATTTGGCCGGGAGACGAGGAGAGACACAAGGTAAGTAAATGCAGCAGCACAATAATAACAATGCAACTGCATTAATATACAACTGCTGGAGGCAGCACAAGTCATATGCTCTTTCATCAGTTCCTGCTTTAAAACTGTAATGGGTATTGAACAGGCGCTAACTGTTTTTATGTCTTCTAGCTGGAAACCAGTTGCTGATTATATTGACCAACAATTTGAGCAATACTTTAGAGATGAGAGTGGACTAAACCGCAAAAATCTCCAGGATACACGTGTACATTGCTGTCTGTATTTTCTTTCTCCGCTTGGACATGGGTATATCTAAATTACTGTTTGCAATTATAAAAGATTTTAAAAGTATAGCATATAGGCAGATGTTTGCTTTTAGAAATGCACCAGTTATGGACAAGCAATTTATGCTTTTTTTTAATAAATATACCAGTTATGGATATGCAATTGATGCACTATTTTCAAATATACCAGTTATAGATATGCAATTGATGCAGTCTTTATAAATATACCAGTTATGGACATGCAATTGATGCAGTCTTTATAAATATACCACTTATGGATATGCAATTGATGAACTCTTTATAAATATACCAGTTATGGACATGCAATTGATGCAGTCTTTATAAATATACCACTTATGGATATGCAATTGATGAACTCTTTATAAATATACCAGTTATGGACATGCAATTGATGCAGTCTTTATAAATATACCACTTATGGATATGCAATTGATGCAGCCATTATAGATGTACTAGTTATGGACATGCAACTCATGCAGCCAATTTGCGGACTTAACCGATACTCTGATTATTACATTTAGGCAGATATTTCTGGGGGGGCAAAGATTTTAGGGCCAATTATATTTTAGCATTCCGTATTTTATCAGCATGATAGTATTCATTTTGGGAGCTTGCAGGCTGAGGTTATGGTAGTTTAGAGGTAAGGTTATGCTTATGTTTAGGGGTTAATGTATCGTGAACTAGCACTTTGCCTATGCAGGGCAAAGTAACAGGTTCAATAAACTCCCCACCCCCTCCTCTGCAACACATAATTACCTTGTCTCAAGTAAGAGGTTGAGAAGTGAGTTACATGCCCCCCTCATATCCAAAAGTACCAGGTATGTCTTTTATGTCAGCGTATGAACAGATTCGCAGGGAAGGAAAGGGCAGAGTCCACTGCTAGTGAGTGAATGATAAAAGGCAGAATTTTGTCCTGGGAGGAAAGCACCTTTTGATATCTCCAGCATCAGCTGTGCATTCAGTCTGCATTCATGTAAGAGCTTCAAAGGAAGTCAGTGCTGGGAGCCTTCTCAGTGGCAAAGGCTGTGATCGCAGGTCTGAACAGGGAGCATGTAGCTATGTAAAGCCCATGCTCTCTGTTCAGACCAGTATGCAGTTAGACCAGTATGCAGTTAGACAAGTATGAAGTCAGTAAAACAAGACATGCAGTCCTGTTTTACTGACTGCAGCATCCACTTTGATATCTAGCTTGTAAATTATCTTCACTCATGGCCACCAGTTCAACATTTTTGGTACTGCCTGGACAGCCAGTCCCATGATTAAATTGAAGCTGGTGCTTTGCCCTACCTAGACAAAGCACAGTTCACCTTTAGGGCATTTTTTGGTTAATGGTTATGTTCTGGGGGGCAGGTTAAGATTATATATTGGCACTTGACCATTATTTGACTAATTTGCGCCCAAGTAATTGTCCCCACAAATGTCAATCTAAAATCACCGCAGCCAAACACCACCAAATACTTACAACTCTGGACTCTCCAATCCTCTAGTAACATCAGTGTCGAATTGTACAACACCATTCTATAAAAAAGAAGGAGGAACAGCACAATGTACCTTAAACACAGTGTCGCATACTATATGTAAACCTGGTATATTTGTGGTGTATTATTACTTATAGCAATTGTTCTGTTGATCTAACTGCTTCTGGAAACATGATGAGGTTTATTTAGTGTAGTGTCTGTAAATATAAGGAAGTGTTTGCTAATATGAACCATGGATGAGCAAAAAGGAGATAAGAGCAAGCCTCAGGATTCAGTAATACATTTGTGAAACATTGAATCTAACATAGTGAATGCAGAAATGCAACCGATTAAGCCATTTTTTTGACTGGGACTAAGGCCCAGTAGGGCTGAAACATGTAAGGGGTGTTTTTTTAATAAACTTTGCAGTATGAAATAAAGATACATTTGGGGAGATTCCTTGTGTGCTGCCATCCCGTATTAAACACATTTTTTTAGTTTTGGGTAGAGTGGAGAAGGGTTACGTTTTGTAATGCTGTCCGTGTTCCCATTGGGAAGATTTACCCCTTTATTTGTATCGGTGACCATTGTCACGGAGGAAGAAGGAGGAAGAAAGTAAGTGGAAAACCAAAATTTTATAGATGCCCCCAAAAACAAGAAGCAAGGAGAAATCTTTCAATGGAGACTGTTTTAGGGACAACTGTCTAAGAGCGTAATTTCTGTGAGTGTATGTACTAATTTCCCTTGTAATTAATCTGTATGTACTCTCATTTCAGACATTCTTAATGAGGAGTAATATTATATTTTTGCAGTTTGCGACCTCTAGATGTTGAGTTCCTTCAAGCACTACAGGACCGAGTAAACATTGTGCCAATTCTGGGGAAGGCAGACACTTTGACACCTAAAGAGCTTATCCAGCAAAAACAAAAGGTGAGAGAGCACATAAATAACTCTCTATATATATATATATGTATGTATATGTATATATATATGTGTGTGTGTGTATATATATTGTATATATACACACACACACAATACAGACAAGGATTATGAACATTTGACATGGAGGCAAACACAACCAATAGGAATCTTTATAGTGGGCATGGATTTCTGTGGGCTAAAGAAAGTGTGTAAAATTCGAAGTGTGTCGTGGTGCCGCATTGGTTGGTTGGTATGGAAAACGTGGGTGTTCCTAAGGGGCCTAGTTTATTGACACATCTTCCAGCATCAGCCTACTTTGCAGCATTTGGCAGTCGGTCACATGACATCTCACATCTCAGAGCTGCAAAGGAAGATGGTTTTGGAAGCTGGTAGCTACAGTATATAGTTCCCAGCATATGACTTTGTTTGCAGGTCCCTCTCTGATCAATGTCTAAATGGTAAAGTATGTCCACTTAGAACCACTTGCCAAACATATTGTATTAGTACTGTCCTGTGGGGCATTTGCCCCCATGTCAGTCCGGTCTGTCTTAAGAAATGCTGTATTTTGTCTAGAATAATACCAAATGTGAAAAAATGTCTGATGCAGTGCAGTACTTGGTGAGCAGTGCTTGGTGCTCCCACTGTTTTTCGCCACCTCATTTGCACTGCAGTGAGATTATCAGATGATGATGTAATGTATTTGAAGGAAGACACACTTGTGCAGAATTTGTTAGATTATTATGTATTTGCAGTGCCATCATCTGGTAAGCATGTAACGCATGCAGTCCATGTAGCAGACATTATAACCATTATTTAAGGTGCAGAAGCACATAGCAAACAATCAAAAAGAAGTTTTTTTAATAGCCCAACTGCAATAAAAAACTATTTTTCTGCTTGGTTGGTGTTAGGTAAGCCAATTGTATTTGGGTAGATATTTTCCCTTGCGGTTTGAGCATTGTTAAAGTTGCTCAGAGAGTTAGCACTAAGAAACAAGCACTGAAAAGTATGTGACCTATGAATGGTCTTGATGGTCTTACCATTGTCAAATACCTTCTAGCAGTTTGTAGTCAAATAAGAAAGATTCCATAAAAGGAGCCCCCATTCCAAGTAAATGTCAGAGTAGTTACAGTTGGCATCAAAGGTTGAGGAAAGGCACCCTTCTCTTGTTGGAGTTGGTTAGAAGTGTTCCCATCTATGGCTAGTCTAATGGAATATCATTGCTCTTTTGCAATGTGGCATTAAATGAAACTCTAGGGCCAAAAAAAAAAAAAAAGATTTTTACATTGCTTAAAAATAAAACAGCCCTTACCAAATGGACCCTTTCTTACCTCTTGTGTTCTGTTTCCTGCATTGATTATAACACATCACTAATGCTCAGTGGGGTCTGACTGCGTGGCATTTAATTCTCATTATCTCAGATAAAGCCACAGGATTACCATTCCCTGCATGTGTTTAACAAGAAATCAGTTAATGGAATTACTATCACTTATTTATAAAGAGCATTTTATGCAGTGCTGTACATCAAGGTTACAAGAAGCACTAAATATGAGAATTAAAAAAAAGCTCAATTTTTTCTGATGAATGGGAGACCAAAATGAGGAGGAAGGAGGAGAAGGAAGAATCATACAGCATTATGCAAAGTACACAGAGTACACACACTACGCTCTACATTTAAAAAAAAAAAAATGTAAAATGTAGACATAGTATAGAGTTTTTAAAGAGCTGTCCTGTTGGTGGTAAAGAGGAGATAATGCTCTCCTTTTATAAATTGGCCCTTTTGTGTATAGTGCACTACAGACTGAGTTTCAGCAATGGGAAACTAGAAGACCCTAGCACATTGCATTTTGCAAACACTGCCTCACCCTGTAAGAAGGAATCTTTGACAGACTGCTGTTAGGCTGTCCTACAGCTTAAAGTGCAAAATAGAAATAAAGCTTATTAAGTATGTCTCTGCAATGTATGCACATATTCTCCCCATTGTATGTTTTTTTTTTTTGAAAGAGCTCTGCAAGCACAGATTGCCTTTGCTGTTTGGAGATCCCAACCAGCATTCTCACCTTATGATTTATTACCCAGCATAACCATGGGGTCTATTCACTAAGCTGCCGTAGGCAGCCGAGTGAAAGACTGACCTGAAGTGAAGTGAGCCGAACGCTGTTCGGCTATTCACTTCAGGCTGGTACGGCTGATTTCAGCCGTATATTGGCTGAAATCAGCCATACATCGGGTGGCTTCACTTGGCTTCAGGTCGGCCGAACATGCTCTGCATGTTCGGCTGACCCGAAGTAGCTGGTAACCAGAGACGCTGATCTCTCTGCAAGCTGGTAACCAGGGACGCTGATCTCTCTGCAAGTGGCCGGAGCCAGCCGTAAGATCACGGCTGGGCCCGCCCCGCTCGCCGAAGGAGGAC